CGCTATGAGTCGGAAACAACTCGACGGCACTTAACAACAACAACAACAACATAGACATCTGTAGACAAAGGAGAGCCCCCTAATCAGGGCTCAGAGCTATGCATTAGGAAGATTAATTTGCAATCTATCTATCAGGTGGATTATAGAAAGAAGAAACTGAAATCAGAGCGACCAGTTAAAACGTTATTGTAGTACTCTAAACAAAAATATGTTTGAGCCAGGATAATGCTGGATAAATCATGGTCTTTTATTAACCACAAAAGGTGAGGATGTATAGTCCTCCCAAAATATCATGGGGTCTTTGGCCTATGAGTTTATGTAAACATTCATGTGCTTTATTTCCAGTTTTGGTATATACAGTGCTAGCATCATTTGTCCTAGATGTAGCTCTCTGCCCTTGCATGGCACAGCCTCTTACTGACAGCTCTCCTGTCATGGAAGTCTCTGTGGAGGGCAGCTTTTTTTTTTTTTTAATTTTTATTGTGATTTGGGTGAAAGTTTATAGAGCAAATTCACTTTCCATACAGCAGTTCACATACACTTTGTCTAATGACATTGACTGCAATTTCCCACAATGCAACAGCTTCCCTCTCACTTCCTCCCCATGGTTACCTCTTCTTCCCTATGTCCTTTCTTCCCATGCACTTCTGCTGAGGGAGGTAAAGACTTCTTTTTTTTTTTTTTTTTAGGATTTGGGTGAAGATTTACAGAGTAAATTCACTTTTCATACAGCAGTTCACATATACTTTGTCTCATGTCATTGACCAAAATTTACAATGCAGCAGCTCCCCTCCCACTTCCTCCCCATAGTTACCTCCTCCCAGTGTCCATCCCTTCATACTCTTCTGCACCCTGAGCTATCTCCCTGTGCATAAGCAGCCCTTCCTTCTCCCATGATTGTTCTCTCCAGGGTGTGTGTCTACTTGAGGTAAATGTTTAACTCACATGCCTGTACTTTGTTTGGCCGGAAACCACAGTTGTGGGTCCAATTCCAGACCTGAAGGGCAGCTAGGGGCCATAGTCTCAGTGGTTACACCAGGCTCTGTTGGACCAGCAAACCTGGTTGGAGGGCAGCTTTTAGACAAGCCAGATTCACCTGAACTGCCCTCATCTTAAACTGACCTGGCTGTCACTGGTCATCCATGCTGTGCGTCAGGACAGTTGATCTCCGAGAGATTCTGTGCTGTACACAAGGCACGAGGCTGGATGCTTAAGGGATTACCAAAATATATAAAAATCTTGACCTCCAAGGGTCAGCCTACTTAAAATGGAAGAAGGAAAACTAGCAACACCTGACAGCAAATGAATTCCAGATCAAGACAATACGTTTATTTACTCCTCACTCATCTACTGAGGGCACTATGTTAAGTTCTGGATAAAGAAATACAGGATAGTTCTGACCACATGGGGTTCGTGATCTAAAAGGGAAGTTAGATAAGAAACAATTAAAACCTATCACAATAAATGTTATTATGAGAGAGGTTAGCCCAGGATATTTTAAGGTCCTACCCTAAACTAAGGCTGAAATAATAATTCTAATTATAGCTAGAAATGATAGAACATGATGGTATGGCTGTGCCCACCTTGTTGTTTCTTTTTTTTTAAAATTTATTTTATTTTGTTGTCATTGAGACAACATATGCTAGTTCAACAGTTTCTACTTGTACAATTCAGTGACATTGATTACATTCTTAGAGTTGTGTAACCATTCTTACCTCCTCTTCCAAATGGTTTCTCCTCTATTAACATAAACTCACTGCCCACTAAGGTTCCTATCTAATCCATCATGTCATTTTCTCTCATTTTATTTTCACAATTTTTTCTTATTCCATCCTTACAGCATTTTTTTCAGATAGGAACTACTGTGATTTCCAATTCTTAAATGAGGAAGCTGAGGCCTAAAGAGGTTAAGGAGCTAGCCCAAGGTCACACAGTACTTGAGAAAAGGACCCTGGTCAGCCTGATGCCACAGTCTGAGGACCACTGTGTAAACCTGGCTCTTCTGGAGGAGATCCAGCCTCAGCTGAGCTGGGAAGATGATTAAGAGCTAGCTAGCCATGCAGGACTGGGCCTGGGTGGTTGGGAGGCAGCGGGTATTGCAGGCTCAGGAATACAGTGAGTGAAGGGCATGGGGGAGAGACAGAACATGGCACATTGTTTCTCTGAACAGCTAGACAGTTAAAGATGGCTTCACAGAGATGAGTTTTGAGGGGCAGCCCAAGGATCCCAATGATTCATGGAAGGAAGAAAGCAAGAGTAGAGAGAGAGAATAGAGCCATGGCAATGAGCAGACCAGGCTCTGGGTGAAAGTTGAAAGCAAGATACAACTAGTTTGGGAGACCTTTGTTCTTTGGGTGTGGGAAGGGGCACCGTCGGGGGAAGGTGGTGGTACAGAAGGTAGCAGAAGATGAGGTCAAGCCATGTTGCCTAACCTGGGTCTTTCTCCCTTCAGCCTATGCTCAGCTACAGCCACACCAGCTCCTCTCACAGCCACCATCAAAGCACCTGCAGCCCCAATTTGTGATCCAGCAGCAGCAACACCAACCACAGCAGCAGCAGACCCAGCAGTCACGGCCTGTGCTCCAGCCCCCGTCCCAGCCCCAGCTCGCCTCAGTCCCTCCAAGCTTGGCCCTGCAGCCCAGCTCAGAAGCCCATGCCATGCCACTAGGCCCAGTTACACCCACCCTGCCACTCCAGTGCCCCACTGCCAGTCTGCACAAGCCTGCCAGCAGTCAGCAATGTCACCCTCCCACACCTGATGCTGGATCTCATAATGGACATCCTGAGGGCCTGTCCCATATCCCTCAACGCAGGTTCCAGCACACATCAGCTGTCATCTTACAACTACAACCTGCTTCACCAGTGGTGAGTAAGCTGGTCATAGGGTCCAGGGAACAAGTAGGGAGGCCACAGTTCAGATGATTCCACAGCCCCATTTGGATCCGTTTCTGGGTAAGCTGAGTGTTGAAGTCCTCACTGGGTTTTCCAAGAAAGAAAAAGGGCTCTTTCTAAATTGGGGCTAACTGAAACAGTTATGTATCTGCTGCCCAAGATCCACAGAAAAGGGGAATATGCAAGAATGTAAAGGCAATCCATGAAGAGCATCTCTGTGTACTATCCCTCAACAGCCCCAGCAGTGTGCCCCAGATGACTGGAAGGAGGTGGTACCAGGGGAGAAGAGTGTGCCCGAGATTCGTTCTGGCCCATCACCACATCAGCAAGCCATCATCACTGCCATGCCTGGTAGCCTGCCTGTACCCAAGAGCCCTAACAGCCAGCATTCCCCAGCTCACGGTATGAAGTGTAGCCCTTCAGGGGAGGGGAGAGAGTCGGCCTTCCCTGCCATCCCTTGGCACATTTCACTTGGGCATCTGGAATGAAAGCGTAAACTATCACAGGCGCAAAGAGGCAACAAGGAGGCAGGATAAGTGGAAACAGAAGCGGCAAAGGAGAAGATGACCCAGGGATTTAAAAAAAAACAAGGAGGGGGGAACCAGAAATAAGGATGAAAGGGTAGAGAAAGGAGAGTTGGTAGTTCTAGAGCCAGAGCTTGAGGGCTATGTGTCCTTGCTGCCAGCTGTATCTGAAGCTGACTATACATACACATTCAGAGTTGAGAACTGACACGGTTATCCAGTTGTCTGAGTTCTCTGCTTCATTTAGTACGAGAAGTCATTCTTGAAATTGGAAATACAGCATGACTGTCATAGCTCAGAGATCAAGAAAGTGCATACGGGGAACTAGAAAGGAATTCTGGATTCGTTCAGCTCACGGAAGCATCTTTGAAGGAACTTGGGTCACCATTGTCTGTCTGTGAGTGCCCAGTGACAAGTGGGTTTGTCAGGAGACTCTGCTGGCCCCCTCTATACTGGTGAGAGTCACAGCAGTGCCTCCACCTGCTACAGCGGTCAAATTGCTTTTCTTCCCCTCTCTGCCAGTGTGCACAGCAATGTTGGCTCAGATCTTAGTGGCTTTCTGTGCCATGAGCCACCTACAACTCAGGGAGGCATTTCTAACCATTGCGCTAAGTGTACTGGGAGAGGGAGTGGGTAGAGCCAAGAGAAAAAAGTTTGAAAATTGAAAAGGAGAAACAAGAGGAAAAATAGTTTTGGACAAGGTAGGGGAAAATGTTGTAAAAATCCTATAAGGAAGAGGGGATGGGATCAAGGGAAAGGTAAGCAAAAGAATATGGAGAAATAATACTAGGAAAATGAGAGCTCAGAAGGGGGCCATCTGCTTTCTGTGTACATACTTACAGTGATAAGGGTTCACCATCTGAAAAGCAGCCCATTCCATTATGGAATTACTCTAATGATCAGAAAGTTGCTCTTAAAATTCAGTCAAAATATTCTGTCCTGTAACTTCTGCCCACTCATTGGTGTGATTTTTTCCTGTGCATTATATCAAAATCCATCTCATAAATTATAGCCTACCAGTGTTTGTAGAAGGAACTCTGGTGTAGTGGTTAAGGATCTGGCTGCTAACCATGGCTACTAACCAAAAGGTTGATGGTTCAAACCCACCAGCTGCTTTGTAGAAGAAGGATGAGGCAGTCTGTTTTCACAAAGATTTACAGCCTTAGAAACCCAACAGGGTTGCTATGAGTTGGAATGGACTCGTTGGCAGTGAATTTGCTTTGGGTTTGAGTATTTGTAGGCAATCATCATGTCTCTCCCTCCTCATTCCCATTAAAAGAAAAAGAAAATCTCCAGGCTAAATATCTGAGACACAGCCTCTGCCTCAAGGAGAATGGTCAGCATTCTTTGTTCAAGTATTTGTTATCCAACAGCCCTTCAATGAACTGACATTCAGCCACCTATCTCTATCTTGTCCATAATCCCTCAAAAATATCTCTGTGAAATCTGATCAAAATAATATACACGTAACAAGCCTCTGCTTGAGGTACTCTCTCATGAGAAGAATACACTTTGCACAGTTGAAACAGTTGTTAGCCACCCAAGACTTAAATATTTGTTCTCTGTATACCTGAATGCCTGCTCCATGCAAAGCACTGTGGAGTGGGAAGCAATACATAGAGAGTAAGATCTATGCCCTACCTTCAAGGAGCTTAAGTCTGCTGGGAAAGATGAGAAATGCACAGGAAAAAAAAAAAAAATGCAATAAAAGCTAAAACATGATAAATGCCATAGAAGGATTATAGGTAAGTGCTTGAAACATTATGAAGAGGGAAGCATTATTTTACTGCCAGCTAGAGATTATCAGGGTAGATTTCTGGCAGGAGGTGATACTGTTCTAAAGCTGGGGTTGGCAAACTACAGCCCCAGGGCCAAATCGGTTACATCCTTAGTTTTTCACAAACCCCAAACTGATGATGGTTTCTACAGTTTAAAAATAATTTTTAGAAAACCAAAAGAATGATATTTCATGGTATGTAAAAAGTATGTGAAATTTAAATTTCAGAGTCCATAAATAAAGTTTTTTGGAACACAGCCACACTTACTGTGCGTGTGTCTGTGGTTGCTTTTGTGCTACATGGCGAAATTGAGTAAGTAAGTAGAAAAAGAGACCGTATGGCCTGAAAGTCTAAAATATTTACTATCTGCTCCTTTACAGAAAAAGTTTGCCAAGTACTGTTCTTTGAATTTAGACCTTAGAGGACCTGGACATGCAGAATGGGGTCCAGGAAGGACTAGTGTAAGAACAGGTAGGGAGGTAGGAAAACTGGGCATGTTTGGGAAATGGAGGTCAGGTGTTCAATAACGTGTTACCTTATTTTATAAAACAAACTGAATGTAAGAAGTGTAAAGGCAGAGCTGAGGAGGGGAATGTGAATATTAATGAAAACAGATCTGAGAATTTGAAATATAGAATAAAGGGGGAAGAATGAAAATAGAGCAAATAATCAGGGAATATAAAATGTAAAATGTGGAAACAAAGGAAAGGGGTTGAGGCTGGGGGAGGGGGGAAATAAAAATATGGGGGGTGGGCAGAGGGAGGGAGAGAAGAAACGATAAGGCAAGAAATGGGGAAATGTTGGGATCAGAGAGAGGTCAAGAATGTAGAAATAAATTTATGTATTCAACAACCCTCCCCACTCCCACAAAGCTCCTGAGGGGTGAGAATTATTATCCCCCACGGCTTCTAGCATATTTACGGAATGAATGTGCACCACCGTGACAATTCAGCTTAAACCAAAGTGATTTAGGAAGAGAACTAACATTTATTGGGCTTCTACTGTGTGCCAGGCTCTGCAGGCAATTTGTATATATTTCCTCAGTTAACTTTCACAGTAAGGCTTAAGAGCAGGGATTATCCTAGTTTATGGAAGTGTAACTGGGTCACTCTGGTCATTACTTCACTTTCCAGTGGGGAGGATAATGACTCGTAGGGTTATTGTTAACAATAAGTGAGACAGTGTGGTCATGTAGGGCATGACATATATTAAACACTCAATTACTGGTAGCCTGTTGTTTTTATTGTTATTTTTGCCTCTAAGGCGTTGTTGTTATTATCATTATTGCCTATAAGGCCTCCAGATAGTGAATTGATCGTGGTGGGAGTCAGTCCACCATGCCACTGGGGGTCATTTGAGGGGGCGATGGCAGGCGTCCTCGTGGCTTGACCCTTGCCTCCCTAAACCGAAACCTTAACGTCCCTAACCCGCTTTAGGCGTTGCTTCTCTAGGCGGAGTCGGCCTCCAGCGCCTTCCGGAGGGTGGGGAGGCGGGGCGCGGGCGGCGGGGCGGAGCTGGCTACGGCCCGCGCCGGCTCCCCCACTCACGCCCGCCGGACAGAGGCCGGCGGCACAAAGGAAGCGCGCGGCCGGGCTTCCGC